GGGAAACTTGCGGGGCGGTCGTGCCCGCCGTGACCGGCGGCCGTGTGCGGCTGCCCCCCTTGGGGCGGGCAGGGAGGCGGGAATGGGCGCCGGGAGCCCGGGGAAAGGGGGGGAGAATCCTGCAAGTTGCTGTGGATGCCCTGTGACCCGCCACAAAGTTTGCTGCGCCGCCTCTTTGGGGGGTACGGGTTGAGCTGCTCCCCTCCGCTTCATCGTGAGCAATGACAGGAATGGCCCCATCTCTGCCTCGTGTTAGTGAGGAGCCGAATGCTCAGAAAATGAGGGTTTCTCCCCAAGTTGGGGAGTTCTCCCCTCTTGGCTTGCCCCAGGACTGAGTGGGAAAGCGCAGTCCTTCAGGCTTCTCCAAACAAAGTCCGGGTGTCCCCAGTAATCCTTCAACAGGCTGCAAGCCAGGCATCCCCAGGTCTGTGGGCATGGAAGTTCTCAGCACACTGCTGGTGTTGTCACTGTTACTTATTTCCTAGCGGAGAGTTCTGGGGCAGCTTTGGTGGGGGCACGGCTTGGTACGAGTTAACGGAGTGCCCGGCATGCCTTGCCGTGCCGTGAGCAACCCGGCTGTGCCCCCATCCCTCCCTCCCTCCATCCATCCCTCCATCCGCGGAACCTGCCCGTGGCACCGGCGCCCTGGTGGCATTGTGGCACCTTCAGCTGGAAGCTGCTCGGATACCATGGTAACAAATGAGGTGTAAGAACCTGCTTGGCATAGGAGATATGGATAAGTAACTTGAGGGAAATATTATCCCTTAATGCATCTCAGTCGCTGGGAATTAGAGCAAGTGCCACTAGTTCCCCTCCGAGTGTGCTTTGAGTTGACTGGTGGTATAGATGGACAACTAGTTTCAAGTAACTTTGCTCACCCTGTTTTGGGTAGGCCTCACTATTACTGCGCTTCAAAAAGGGAGTTTTTAGCATGTTAAAAGAGTAAAGTTAAATATGGTAGAGTCAGTGATTGCTGACTGCATGGAAATGCAGCTAGTTGCTTGGGAACACTCAGGCACAAGTGCTACAGTAAGTGCTGCTGAATACTGGCTTGTTAATAGAGAGCTATCTTTACGTGAAGCTAAAATTATATATGCTCATCATAAAGAGCAATGAGGGCTGAAGACAGGAACAATTTGTGACTCTTTTCCTCTTGAGAGGGGAAGACCTTGGGGTCTAGCCCACCTGGCTCATGATGCTGGTAAAGCTAGAAGTCGCTGCACCTTGTTTGTATGAGACTTAAGGGAAAAAATCTTGGTTGTGTGCATGTATATGACATCTCTGGAGTACAGGTTAAAAATACACAGAGGAGAAGCTCTTGAAGCACTAAAAGAGGTAATTTTGCGTTTATTCACCATCAGTGTTTGTGCGGGAAAGAAAGAAAAAGAAACTTCAGTTTCAGGACTTGTGCAGCCTGAGCAGACTATACTTTGCTGGTTGACTAGAAGATATAAATAGTGTGGACTGGGTAGTGACTTTTCTTAAGATAGTATTTTTTTAAATGTCAAAGGCTTGATGCACTTCTAACTCACTAACATGGAAGATTCAGTTTTCTTATCARCTGTGTAAAATAACATGGGCCCAGAGGCTCATTTTAAAGACAGGCTGTGAAAATTAAGAGAGTGGACTCTATATAAAAGTGCCCGTCTAGACAGAAATGTGACAAAGCCTTTAAAAATTAATTTGAGGTACAGTCGTGTTTGGGTTAAGACCGTGTTTGTGACTTCAACATGCCTTGTGTTGTAACAGTCTGTACTCCTGGGCTCACGTGATTCTCTTTCATCACTTRCTCCCCAGATCTCCTTGCTGCAATCCGTGTCCTCCCTTCGTATCCCTCCAGAGTTGTGTTAATGATCTCTTTTCCTCTGGTCATCATCTTGGAATGGCAGCGGGGTTTATTGTTTTGTTTTCTTCTATGCAACAACAGGAAGGTTGTGCTCGTATAAGCTGATACTTTTCATTAGGGCTATCTCTGAATTAATAAGGAGAATAGTATCTAAAGACACYGCTTGTAGAAGGAACTTCATCAGAAGAATCCATCAAATTTAATTTGCAGATGTTTGATCGTATGTAGGGATGTTTTTTTTATATTATTGGCCGGCAGTTTCGATGCTGTGCGTCACCACAAATTGTACACAGTGCAAGCTGAGACCATTAAACAAATACCCTATCTGTGTCTGCTGTCTAGTAATGGCAAATATAATATCTGGCCACTAGAAAAACAGTTTTAAACTGGGAAGGACAACAGATTTTTCTCCTATCTGAAGGACTGTCAGCTTACATTCTTGAATCCTTTCTAAAGAGTTGAACTAAACAATGCTTAAAATCATGTTAAACCTGTTTGAAACAGGAACTTAAAGGAAGCCTCCCTTTTGTGTGGCCTGCTGTTTACTGCTGCCTTCAGAAAGCCTGCAGACAGCAGTGACAACCTACTCTTTGGGGCCCTGCGAGTGGGAGGAAGGAGGGAAGGGCCTTTCATAAAAACTATTCTGTAGTTTTTCTTACTCATCAAATGCTGWCAACTACATACCTGCTGCAGTACTTTAAAACACTGTTCCTGACTTTTTTTTTCACATCATTTGGAGGTGAGCTGGTTCTTGTTGAGGGAGATGTATTGGGATGTTTTTTTCCTTCTGATGAACAAAGGATCAGCATTAGCCACCTGGCTGAAGAAATCAACCTTGTAGTTGCAACTGTTGTGTGAATGGTTACACTTTAAGCTGTTAGTTGTTGCTGCACTTCTGCAGGCCCAGGAAATGTCTGAGCATCTGCTAAGAAAAGACACTGGTTTTTGGTTTTTCTTTTTTGGTTTGGCCTGTTCCTTGCGCAGCTCCGGCCCCCGATGGCCTGGTATGTAGGCCAGCGCGGGTGCTCTCCTCCCGTACCTGCCAATTACACTGCTACRTGTTTCGGGGTCAGCTCACTTGCAGCAGAAGAAGAATTTTCATACAGGATATTTGCAGACCTCATCAGGAAAACATGCTGAAGAAAATTCCAGTTTGGTATCTGACTGCTTTGCTTGGACCTCCAAGTCTGATGGCCAACCCACAGGAGTTCACCACTGCCCTTGTCAGCAGTCCTTCAGCTTGTATTCTCTGCCTCAGCATTTCTCTGTTTATGGGTGAAGTTCACGTAGCTAAAGGCTTGACTTCTTCAGCGTCAAGCTGAACCCACAGGCTGATGTGTTTGCGGTATTTGGTAGGAAAAGAGCTGAGGTAGAGCCGTGTTTCCATYCCGCCCTATTCTCCGAGGGGCCGAGCCGTTACCTGCCCGTGTTAGGGGCCCTGCTCASGGGGCCTCGTGCGCCGGTGCTGCTCACCTGCGGTGGTGCGGGACTGCGAGGACACGCGCAGGGGAAGGCGAGCTCGCCTTGCCGCTGGCCGGGCTCTGCGCAGGACCSAGTCAGTTTGGAAGCAGAGCCTCTTCCATTTTCCTTAGTTCTCATTTGAACTTCTACTCTCCTTTTTGGAAAGGACAAAATCTCTCAGAAAGCCAAAGGGAGGTGGGAGGTGGAGGGGGTGTATAAGAAAGTGAACTTTCAAAGTGTTGGGAACCAAGGGAAAGGAGCTTAAGGGCATATTTATGTGCTGCTGTTCGTGCCTTTGAAAATATCTCATTAAAAGGGTAGTTGAAAACCTTGATGTATTGTGTTTTGAGAACTGAAGAACTTGTTTTGCTTTCATTATAACTCACTGCTATTTTTAGGAGTCTGGCTTCTCTGTGTCCAAAGTAACAATCTGCTTTGTGTGTGGAGTTTTTTTGTTGTTATTTGTTTTTGTTTTTCTCCTGCCAAATAAGCCTGCCACAGTCTGAAGCATTAGCATAAATGAAAGCTTTGAACAGAATAATGAAGGTATTTTTGGAGCACATGACTTTATTGTGCACATAGAAAAACACATCACCAATATTTTTGTTCTGATAATGGCACCGAACATGAATTCCTGTTTTACAAGACTGACTTCTTGCACGGTGCTTGGGGAATGGAGTTGTGCCTCTTGCTGATTCTCCTATGGTAAAATACATGCTAGGACTAAATGAGGGGGATCCCATTGGGGTAATATAAGCAAGGAAGTAATTTTGGAGATTGGTTTGGGATTCCAGAACTTACTGCATGCAACTGAAGCTGGCTCTTAATTTACAATCTTTATTTTGGAATTTGTTCCTGATATTTTCAGCTGTAGCTGAATTAAGACCGTTTCAAGCTGCATTTGTCCTGCRTTTTTTTCTTCGGTGAGATAAGACGTTCTGTTCAATGAGAAAATGTGACCAACCTTYTGATAGCTGATCCAGATTAAGTAATAATTAGATATAATTACCGTTTCTGGCGGGGAGGATGGGGGGAAGTAATTCTGCTATATTGAAGTTCTTTTATCTTCAGTTAACCTACTCTGTTCTTACTGGAAATATTAACTGAAGTGCCATCTTGCTTTAGACGCTTGTTTTAAAGCTGCCAACGCGTATTCAGTGTTACAGATGCTCCGTGTCTGTAGCCCAGGGACCCCTGTATTCTGCGCTAGCTCCGGTACCAGCTCTTTGCCTGGGTAGCACTGACCTTGCCGAATGCCCGAGGAGGGCGGCTTTTCATCCTCCCAATCTCTTTCCGTATGGATTGAAGGGAAGGTTAGTGACCTGCTTTTCTCTTTTCTCCCCATACCTTGCACTGCATTTTACAGGGTAGTGGGAGGGGAGGAGTATGAATAATTTTTCCCCGTTCCTGCCTAGTAACAAAGTAGGCTGTATTATTTCCACTGCCTGTGGAACATCTTGTGTAACTTTTGTTCCATTTTCAAAAAGCTGAGATAAGGATTAGGTTAATTTGGATACATATTCTTGTTAAGCAAACATACTTTTTTTTTCTTTTTTTTTTTCTTTTTTTTTTTCTTCTCCCTGTGCTGGCAAGCTGAATATTGAGTGTTCCTGTGGTCTGATTATAAGAATAAAGCTATTTTGAAATAGCTGGGAGTGTGAAAGAATACTGGCTTCAGAATTGAAGTGGATTTATGTTTAAGTATTTCTTCCATTTTTATGTGGCATTTCATTTTACTGCAGTGAACAGGATTATTTTTAATGATCTCATACCTGTTAATCAGGCAGTCTTAACACATCTGCCTCCTTCCTTCTCCCTTTTTATCCACCCTGTTAGTGTCTTTCTGTATGGACCAGTCTCAGGGAGGGCAAAGGAATGGGAGAATTGGTGAGCCATAGATGCATGGGGTGGTTTGCTCTGGTCATCCAAACCCCACCTATTCCAGCGCTGATGCATTAACAAAGCCAAAAATCAATGCAAAGTCCAGTTTAAGGAAAATTTGTCTACAGATATTGGTGACCCTAAGCTTTATATAAAAAGCAAAACCTGACTTTTGTTGATTTGTGTTGGCAAAAGTTCCTGCAACTGGCTTCTCCATAGAAGAGTTCATCACGTTCTCACTATCTTGTTATCCGGGTAGTGGTTCGTGTTCTGTGCTGCTGGCACAACTGCAAGTTTAGCTTGGAATCACGGTGTGCAGATGTTTGACTGCTGCTAGTAAGTGAATTTGAGCCGCTGTTAGTCTTGGATTTGATGCTTAGAATGAGAAATTCTTAAAAGCAAAATATACTCCCTTCTCTTGCCTGAAAACAATGTACCGTATGCTCTGCTATGTTCTTTTTACAAACTCTGAGAATGCCTGTTTGATGTCTTTTTTGTTTTATTTTCTGATCAAGAGTTTGTTTAAATCCAGGTGAGGGCGAATAAATTGAAATTTAGTTATTCTCCTGTGTAGAATTCCTCTATGGATCTCCAGTGATCATAACTTCCCATTACACTGGTATCAGCCTACATTAGTAGGGCAGTTATTTCATTTCCCTTGATAGCTACAAAATATGCAGCAATGGACAGTATTTATGGAGYTGTTATGAATAGAACTTCACACAAAAATAATAGGTCTCTTTGTCTGGGACTTGCTAATTTGCTTTGCCTTTCTGAATAGATTCTTAGTGGATCATTTTTAATGGGGGAGGAAAACCTGCTCACAGAAAAACATGTTGAATACCATAATGTTTGTAACAGTCCTGTAAATCATGTACAAAGTGTAGTTAGCACATACAAACACAGCATGACATCTGTGGCCTTTCGCATTTTTATCATCAGCTGTGTTGTTTTAACAATGACTTCACATCAGAAAGTTCTTGCTATGTCAATGGTTTGTTTAAGTAAGATAGCTTTTTTTTTTTTTCCTTTCTGTTTACTAGACAAATATGAATTTGCTGGAGATGCTGCCTCCTGTCTATATTCCTACTTGCAATCTGACTCTCTGAATTCGGTTTTATAGAAGCTCATGGAGGTTCACTCTGGGACCAGATGAGTTGTGCTRGGGAGGAGAAGGCTCTGGAGTATTTGCTGGAGTGATGATTTGACACAGAAATGTTTTTCTTGCATTTTCATGGTCTTTCCTTTCCTTGCATTTGCTTAAGGTTCCTCTTTAAGAGTTACTTGAAATGTGTTACTGCTTGGAGGCTGATACTTGGAGTTTTGATGATGCAGCCAAGGACAGGCAGTAATTATAGGTTTTCCCTATCTGGAACTGCATGAGCCCTTGTGGTCTTGAGGGTTATAGTCAGTTCCTGATGGACACTCACTGCTGCTCTCGTTTGGGTGAGGAAGAGAGAGCACCAAAGAAGGCGCTTGGCAGAGGAAGAGGGGGTTGGTTAAAATCTATCACTTCTTGGTTTGAGAAACAGCTTGGATCTGTTTTGCTGTCATAAAAGTCATATATTGGGAACTGATCTTAAACTTTGCCAAAACACTGTTATACCTGGTGTATGGAGAGAGATGCATCAGGAGCCTGAAGATCACTTAATCTAATGTACGATGACCACTACGTGAGCATTCAAAGATAAAATACACCGAGGTAATTTCAGTTCGTCTCTCATATACCGCATATGTAGGAGTGTCTCGTGCTTCCCTGGTTCGGAGCCAAGTGTGGTCATTGTTGCAAAAGATAAGCAGTGTGTGCACACTACGCACTATATAAGTGAGTGCTCCCACAAATATAGATAAGGTAACCTATCAGCAGAGAAATCTGTATTGCAAACTAACTATATCCTTTTTCCCTTCTTCTTTCCTTCTAGTATTGGATGAATGAATATACTTCTTCTCTTGGAATTGGAGTATTCCATTCAGGTATAGAGGTGTATGGCCGAGGTACGTACAAGGAAAACTGTTTTACTCTTTGCCCTGATTAAGCTAGTATTAAAAACCACCCTTCAGGGTCTGTTCAGGAAAGGTGGACTCACAAAACCTGCTTATCAATTTTTGCTTGAAGTTTTCATCTTCTCAACCTCTGGGAAAAGAACTTGGCTACCAGTAGTCTGGATATTGTCCTGCATTCTTCTATAAGGCTATTCGAATGTGTATAATTTATTCAGAAAGCCATGGTAATACTTATTTTGTTGTTAAAACAAATTTATGCTTCATTTAAGTGCCTTCAGCTCAGGTTTCCTCAGTGCTCTGCTGGCACTTAATACAGGGAGTTAATGTTAACAGTGAGAATAGTAACTTTTTGCAGAGAAATACCCGGAATTGTGTGATACACGGTAAAAACTGTCTGGTTTGGATCCATATTAGTAGATGGTTTGTTTGGATTCTCACTAGTAGATGATTTGTTTTAAAGAGAGCATTTCTTTAAAGGGATCTCATGCACACTGTGCATTTATGAAAGATAAACCTCTGATAGATAGAGCGATAGATCCTGACTTTGCCAGGGAGGCTGCAGTGTGAGAATGCAGCTTGCTGGTTTGCATAGGGCACCTTGACTGCCTGCTGCTGCAGGAAGAGATGTTTCTAAGTGCATGATAGCTCAGGCTCAGGTCTGAGACGTTACTGTCCAACAGTGAAACCACACTCCAAGGTGATGGGGCTGTTAAAAATATCGCATTAATGAATAAATTAAAAAAAAAAAAAAAGGATACTTCTCTTGGGTGTTTGGGAATGAGGGGGAGCAGCACAAGATGTGTATTCCAGAGACCAGACTGTGGAAAGGATCTTAAAATACAGATGTTTCATCTGCTCTAATGGTAGCGTTGTAACCGGGTTTGCAAGTGTTTTGAAAATATCAGGGAATGGACAAAAATACAAGCTTGCTTGAATTTCTTTTAATACAAATCAGGAAGACCTGACTCCTGACAGTGTCATGCCTGAGACTAAACTGCTGAGCTGTGCCAAATACGTGTGGCCTCCCTTCCTGTTCAGCCTGTAATGGGTTTCTGGTGTTGCAGGCCATAGCGTTGCTAGAACAGTGACATGCATTTTCTACGTACTGCAAACTTTATTTATTAACCTATTGTAAAAAGGATTTTCCACAGAACTCTAGACCTGGGTGATGATGTATTCTGAGCCTTGGGGAAAGGAAGTGTAAAGTCACGCTTAAAGCTTTTATTATGATGTGGGAGTAGCACACTGCGTTATCTGACAGCCGCAGAAGGAAACTCAGGCATGCTGTGATATTTTCCCAAACTATTGGTGTTTATGCCAGTAGATATTATGTGCAAGCTTCAGATCTGTGCTCTGGGTTTACCTCCTTGATGTAGCAAAGAACTTACAGTACAGCTCACCTCCTGCAAATTCAGAAATTTAGAAGCACGTTAGGCCAGTACTAACTGCCCCACTTCCAGCTGTAGCGTGCACTGAATGGTAAGACTGTGGGGCCTTTGGAGACGGGGTACTTTGAGTCCTTAACCTGCAAATGTATAAGTATACATTAAAAGGCGGCATATATAAAAGCATTGGGTGGATTTCTGGTTTAACTTCTAAGTCCCTGCTTATACAATGAAAACAGTGTGTAYGTATTGTGAAGTATTGCAGGGTAAACCTTTATATTGACACAGGAAGTGGTTTTTTGAATTTTTATATGCATTAGCTGCTAGCTAATAAAACTAGACGCTTCCAATTCCTTGCATATTTTGCCCATATAAATAAGATGTCTAATTTCCAGCTTCAGATCCTTAAGAAATGATCTTCAAGTAAATGGAGATCTGTTGTTTTTTTACTGTTATTTTATGCAGGCTTTATTAAATATGAGCTTTCTTTTTCAGAATTTGCTTATGGTGGTCATCCTTACCCCTTTTCTGGAATATTTGAAATTTCGCCAGGAAATGCTTCAGAGCTAGGAGAAACTTTTAAATTTAAGTAAGAAAGACACTTATTTTCTTGCTTTGGAGGAAGCATGTTAAAAAGGCTATATGTTGCATTTATTTTTTCAAGACATGTATTGAATGGTATGTCAGGATTTCTGACTCAGAAATCCTGAGTGTGGTTTCTTTGTTTGAGAAACAAAAGGTGGGAAGAGGTACTTAAGTGGTGAAAAGTATCTGCAGCAGGGAATATTGTCGTTAGCATACAGCCAGATTCCTTAAATGGATAGATCTGTAGTTAGCTTGCACTGACTTGTAGTTAGCTTTTATTATTCATGCAGTATATACAATGGGGTGACTTTTCCAAGCTAGTGAAGTCTTTATTCACAGAAAAGTCTTATCCCTTGCTCTGTGACGTTTTCCCAGTCTCTCCTCTACACTTCCTCCAAATTATTGCCTTGACCCTTCTCTGCGTTACCAACTGCCCTCTGTTCCCTGCTGTCTCTTACAAAGAATATGATTTGCAGAGGTGGGAAAAGTTGCATCCACCATTCCAAGACTTAAATTGCAAAGAACTTAAGCCAGCTACAGGGAGACAAGCAGCAGGGAAATCGTCTGGTATGAGGAAGATTTGAAAGTGTTGCTCTAAGATGGAATCTGTGTTACTTAGGAGGGCAGAAAGATCCCACCGCCACAGAGGGGGGACTTGGGGCAATGAGAGAACAGTGATTCACCTATTTCCCAGAAGCATGGTCATCCTCTGATCACTTTGTTTCCCTTTTTAGAGAGGCTGTGGTTCTAGGCAGTACTGACTTCATGGAAGATGATGTAGAAAAAATAATAGAAGAGCTTGGAAAAGAATTCAAAGGAAATGCCTATCATCTAATGCACAAAAACTGCAATCACTTTTCGTCAGCTTTATCTGAGGTAAAACAAGCAACTGGGTTTATAGAAAAATGCTTCCCACATGGCTGCAAACTACTGTCTYCTTCCTGTTTTTTAGATCATTTTTGCCTAATTTCTATCTTTCTACTTCTARCACCTTGGGAAAATATTATAATTTCCTCAGATTTTTGTGTTTATATCCAAAATACAATACTGTGCTACCAGAAAGCTAAATGTTGCTGTTATAGGTAGTCTGTGTTTCAGCACGGGTACAATTTGTAATCAGAAAACCTAGTTAGTATTAGTACAACAGAAGTATTGAAAAACATTTCTGATATTTCAAAGATCCTTTTCAAAAACAACCACATCTTAATATTTTCATCACATTTTATTCACCAGCTAACTTTCTCACAGAATATCACACTAAAAATGTTTGGTAGAGTTATATCATCCTGCTAAAGAATAGCAAGGCGATTCAGATTTCAAGGACAATCTCGGTATTCCAAGAGAGAGGCTTTGGGCAGGTTATCCCTTTGCCAACAACAGGCTCCTGTCACRTAGGTACCTCTGTGGTCCTGCGAAGTGTCCTGTGGTGGAACTGAGCGAGTCTTGCATTTTGCCCCTCAGCTTTATTCCATCCTAATCAGTTTGCCAATACACTGAAAGCCTGATCACTCGAATGCTTGTACCTGTGCAAGGGAAAAGGGCAGAAACAAGTACCCCAGGACAAAGATGGGAATGTCAGTAGTATATTTACTACTACTACTTCTACTTTACTATTACTACTGTATTTAATGCTGCAGTATTATTTATAAATGCCAGCCTGTGTGTATGTCAGAATTTATTCTCCAGCTCATTCAGGCAAGAAAGAATTTTTTTTCTCAAATGTCCATGCAACTTTAGGTTTTTTTTTTTTCTTCTCCCAAAATGGTTAATAGTTTTTTTTGCTTAGACTGTGTTTGATCTCTTAGTGGTTTGGAAGATTTTGTTGAGATGATGATTCCTTTGCAATGCWGATACGTGTAGGGAGGGTGAGAGTGACTAAGCTGTGGTTGAATKCTGGTCTAAAGAGCCAGGCCTCCACCATGCTGCTATTTTATCCCTTGTCCTATTTCATGTTCAAGTTGATTATTAAAAGCAAGGATGAAATTAAAAGTTAAATGCTGTTCAATTACAACAGAGTAGTGTGTGCAGGAGCTATGAATGTTCTCCAGTTTTGTGTTGGAGTAAATAMTACAAGAAGTGAAGGTGGAGGGTGATAAATGAAAGAGCTTGCTTCTTGACTAGTGACAGTGAAAACAAAGTGGTTGATTTATGGTAAAAATGAGCTTTTAATACAGCTGTTTATTTTGAGCAGGAGTTGAAACTAGCTGGATATTGTAGAGTTCTCTTGCTCCAGTAAACCTGAATGTTTGTGCTTGGCCTGTTAGGATACTGACMTCTTATCCAAAGGCATTAGAGACCATCCTAGCAAATGCCAGAGACTCGGAGTGGTTGAGGTTGGCAGGTGCCGCTGGAGGTGCAGTGTGAAGCCCCTCCCCAAGGGAGGGTCACCTGGAGCGTGGAKGGAGACGCCACACGCTGCGGTAGGGGAGCCGGGTCACCCGCACACGCAGGGACGGCCTCCACTGCGCGACTCGCGCCAGGGAGCTGCCCTGCCCACGCTGGCTCTTTGCCTGTTCGTGATTTCAGGGTACTCGCTTTATCGGGCATTTTTGTTTCTGAGGAATTAGCTGTGAATGCAGATCATCCGATTTATGTGCTTTTTTAAAAAGGAAAAGAAAGGATGAGGTTGCAACACTTTAGGACTTCTGAGTATGAAGCCACTTGTCAAGCTCGCAGTGAAAAATGTCTGTTCTGTGAGCAGGGACACAGCTTACTTGGGGGACTGTCTTGTGCAGCTAACTTGGGTGCTTCTTGACTGGTGCTCATGAAATATAGTTTGTAAGTCTCTTGCAGCCTTTGCTGTTCTGAACAGCAGTACAATTTTGTTACAGTACAAACATAATCCTTTCTTCCTCCTTTCCCRTTAGATCCTGTGCGGAAAAGAGATTCCACGGTGGGTGAATCGTCTCGCGTACTTCAGCTCCTGCATCCCCTTCCTGCAGAGCTGTCTGCCCAAGGAATGGCTGACGCCCGCAGCGCTGCAGTCCAGCGTGAGCCAGGAGCTGCACGAGGAGCTGGAGGAGGCCGAGGACGCGGCGGCGGCGGCCTCCTTGGCGAGCTCGGCATCTGCAGCCAGAACTGGGCGCCACACCAAATTATAAGTCCTCCTCCAAAGTAACACTTAGGTTGAACTACTTCAGCTTAATCTCTCTGGCAATTGACTTCCTGACAGACCGTGAGAGCTGACTCTAGAACACTGTCCTTATATGCAAAAACAGCTCAGGATTATTTATGTAGTGAAAAGAATTGCTGAGAGAAAAGGGAAGGATTTTGTGTGAAGCCACCCTTTTCATTTTCACCTTTTTGGTAGGCCTGGGTTAACTTAACATCTTGTATAAAGCAGAACTTAAATTATTTGTTTACAGTATTGTGTACTGCTGTTTACAAGTCCTGTAAGGACTCCTGCCAACATGAAAGAAGAGAGAATATGACTTTGATTAACTGCTGGTGTAACTCAAAGGCAGTGGTGTTATGCCCTGGATGAACTCTTCCCCTTGTTTTAAAGATTAGAGGCAGGTGACCTTTAGATTTCTGAAAAATGCCAGAAACTGCTGAATACTATGTATGTGAACAGGGTACTGTGCACTTAAAGTGGCTGAAGTAAACAGGTAGATTCCAGGATGTAGGGAGACTGACTTTTGTCTTAAGATCTGTTACTAGAAGTATGACCTCTACATTAATGAAACTGTGGATTTTTGCACATATGAAGGGAAATCTCATTACAATGCACATAAACCTCTGGGGGGGTGGGGGTTTTTTTAGTGGGTTTCTTTTTTTTCTTTTCTTTTTTTTTTTGTAGTCATCTTGTTTTTAAATGGACGTCCTATCTTCCTTCTGTATTTACAGCCCACTTCAACCAGGATTTAGACATGTGAATTTCACCAGTTAAAAGCATCAGCAAATTCTGCTGTTTGTTTTACTTGATCTAAAACTTGTGTTTGGAAGTTAGTACTTGGGAATGAGGTTTTTTTGCAGGGGCAGTTGGAGGATTTCTTTATGTAGTGTGTAATACACAAGCCAATTACGGTTGGGGAATGGCCTTTCTTTCTGCTGCTGGTTGTTTCATTTGAGTTTATAAATGTTTATAGCTTAAAAAAAAAAAAAAGACACAACTGACCAGTTGTGCAAACCCATACAAATCATAGAGAAATTGGGATTTATTTTCCTGCTGCCTCTATCTGTGGCATTATCTTTCGTATCAGATGTAATGAAGAAAAACCTGGAAATTGCTTAGGCACCTGTGTGTTTGCACAGCAGAACCCACTAATCTGCACACATAATTATATCAGAAGGTAAGAGATGTTATTTTGTAAAACAGAAGTRTGTCTGCTGGTGGATTACGATGAGAGCTAAATTATAACTAGTGATCAGAATATATAATGAATGCCTTATTCGTGTTCACGTATCGAGAGAGTTAATGGTTCTCCCAGTCATTAGTGTGAGTTAGTGAGGTTCTGTTGTGCATTTAAGGATACAGTAGCACAACCATGAGTGAGGTGAGCTTGTGTATTTTTTAAGACTTGCTGCCTTAAACTGTAACAAAATCCACACCATCTGTAAACTGATCAGCTCACAAAGTGTGCATTACTAGAAGTATAAATGATTCTTAGGAGCTTTATTTTATAATCTGTTTCTGGGGTTTTTTTCCCCACTGAGTAAAATACGTTTCTGCTATTTAAAAGGGAAAAAAAATGATCTTAAGAGGCAAGAATGCTTAATGTTACAAGTGCTCCTAGCCTGGGGTAGTTGGTGCCATTGAACCCTCAAAAAGGTGCATTAGATTATATCCTAGAAAGATTTCTTGTGATGGCCAGCTCCATGTTAGAAGTAGGCAGAAGCTTTTCTGCCAGCAGTTGGGTTGAATCCTTTGTAAAACTGTCTAAGCTTTCAATGATCTTCCGTGTTGCAGTTCAGTAACAGGAGGAGGAAAAAAAAATCAAGTGAGACTCTAGGAAGAGTGGAATAATAGTAGAAGTCTCTTTACCTGTAGTTTGGTATGTGCTTAATAATCATTTCCCACTTAGTGAAAGAGATCGACTGACGAGTCTGCTACTAACTAGAGTTGAACTATCTGTTTGATCTCCAGAAGGTGGACTACTGACTCCRTATTGATGTCTTTTTTTCCCCTTCACTTGAATCTTCAAATTTGAGTTTTGTTTTTTTCTTTTCTTTCTTTTTTTTTCTTCCTGTAGTGAAAATGAATAAGGTGGTCTCCAGTTGACTCTCAAGCGTTATTACAGGATTAAATATCACGCTACGTACAGCGAAGGCAACAGGCCATGGATGGGTTATTTTGTCTCTGCTGTGCAGCTCGTGGCGGTAGTGTGACGAAGTCTCGCAGCCAAGGCAGGTCCTTTATTTCAGCTCAGGGTTGAGGCCACTGATCTAGCAACGTACTGTAGCTTTTCCTAAGCTTTACGAAGAATAAATGGAACAAATTTTCATTGCTACCTAACTTTTATGTACCAAAATCAGCTTTATAGGCTTCTAATATATCCAGAGCGCTAGGTCACAAATCTCTACACTGTCATTAACACACGCAACTACAGCATGTACAATGCAAGAAACAGTGACAGATCACAGCACAGTTTTTATTTAGAAGTGAAACTAAGAATATTTTTTATAAAGCAGACTGGAAAGTTTGTAACAAATGCTTGTTTTATTGATAGCTGTACAGGTGAAAATGCCGTCTTATGCTCCTTTTTATTTCATTTTATTCCCAAATGATCCATTTGTAAATCGTATGAGGAAACTGACACCTGAACCCTGGAGGCTGCTCAGTATCGGATCCAAGCGAGCGCTGCCGTTAACTCCCATCCCGGCTGTGAGCTCGGCCTCCGCTGGATGCCTGACAGAAGACCCCCCTGCCAGTGGTTACTCCTATTTGTTAGCAATAGAGCAAGTTACCTTTCACCAGCACTACTGCCAAGCAGGGATTACTTTAGCCTACTAACGACCACACTGTGCTAGGACTAGGACACTCCAAATGCTGTGAGAAAGCTGGACGCCTGTGGAGTCTTTCCATCAAAACGGGTAGAAAAACAATTCACTACTTCAGGGTTCTGCTCTGTTTACTTTCTCATCCTTGTTTAATTTTCTGTAAGATAGACTTTTGATACGTATTATTCTTTAACTCGCTTTCTTTAAATGCCATTTTTTGTTCAGCAAGCCAAAAAAAAACAAAAAATCCAATGTACTGTCAGTGTGCACCAGTAACTTCAGAGTGGCTTGGTAAAAATACAGTTGGAGTATTTCTAAAACTTGCAATGCAATTCTGATCACTATTGATACATGATAATTTTCACTGTTGGAAGTTGGTTACAAGCTGAATCTTCACTGACGCAAGTTTTGTAAACTTGTATTCAAGTTTACTGTACTTCATAGTATTTGTATAAAATTCAAAGAATTTTGACTTTTGTTACCTGTACATGGCAACAAGTTGTCTATCATCTTAAATCCATCAGTTTATTAAAAATACTTTTATAAAAAAAAAAATGCAGCTGCTTGTGTTGCTTATTCTTCTGATAACTCTCATTTTGTGTTGCCAGTGCCACATGAGCTGACATTTTGAGCTGGAAAAAAAATGCCTTATTTAAAGCAGGTTCTGCTGCAGGTGCCCTTGACTCGAGGCACCTGGAAAGGCCTTCGTGTGATAGGAGACACAGGGCCGAGCAGAGCACATGAGGTTTAAGGGGGTAGCGACTTCTGTACAAATTCAGGACCCTGACAGGCCCCAAGGGTGTGAGGCAAAATCTTCATTTATTGAACCATAACTTGATAAACTGGCAAGTTCATCACCTAAAGCTACTAATTTGAGTATAAAGGTCTGTTTTCTACTCTGAATTCTTCCAAGTTGTGCTTTTACTGTACAGAAAAATGCATATGGATTTAATTTAGTGGGTGAGTAGCTGAGGTTTTTTTTATTGCACTGTTCTTGAAAAAACTACAGATTTTTCAAATGAAGTTTCATTTCTCTTAAAAAAAACCTTAATGCATGCAAGGTTTGTCTTGCTTTTTTTTTTTTTTTTAACTGAACAACGTGAAACAGAAGCTTTTTTCAAATGAGCAGTTAGACACCTTTCCTTATAGCTAGAGCCACCTTAATGTGCCTGTCCCCCAAAATAAATCCCTTCCCTCTTACTCCACAGTGCTTCATAGGACACGTTGAAAATGGATATTAAACTGTTCCTGTCTTTAATCTCCTTTGGGCTGCTGTCCGGCCAGCCTCAGACATCGCCTTGAGGAARCAACCGTACTCCTCTGGTAGCTCCATTTTCTACCTGACTAAGTGGGAATTCCCTCTTCCTAGTATGCCTTGGTGCACTAACAGCGGTATCGCAAGCCCAAGCAGGCCGCAGCCATGAGGAAATGCAACGTTACTCAGTCGCAGCTTGGCCCAGAGCAGGTATCCTGCTGCTTGTAGCTCCGGGCCATGCTCCCAGAGGGAAGTTCCTGCCCCGGGACTAGTTCTCAGCGCCTGCCCGTGAGAGGAGCGCCCGGAGGCGAAGCTGCTGCCTGCCCCTCAGCAAGGCGKCACAGGGGCTCGCTGCGTTATCGCACGCTTTATCATCGCAGCTGTGTGTTAATCCTCTAACCCCCAACCAGCCAGACTGAGGGACCTATTGATCATGTCTCATGATTTTTCCAGCCTCCTACACTTGTCTRGAAGTTTTTGCTCTCTGAACGAATCCAGAGAAACTGAAATGTGGACCTTACATGGGGATCATGAGTTTCACTTCTAAGATCTGAGGGAAAGAGGTGGTCAGATTTCCTTTTCTCAACTCCTTATCCCACATCACTTTCACACCCACYGAAATAGGGTGCCYGAGCCTTTCAGAAGGCCCCAGGGTRTTAGGGAACCCTTCCTGCTYGGATTTCCCCAGCCAGGCTTAGGGAAGGGGACAGGACATGGCAGCGGGGAGAAGCGGTTCCCGGTGCCCTGCTGCAGCTCTGCCAACAGAGGCCTCAACCCTTGGCCCCCACACAACAGGGCTGCCCCACACGCGACCGGGAGGCTCCGTCCTTGGGGATTMAGGCTGGCTGCCAGGATGGCCAGCGCGGGGCCTGCTCTGCAGCAGCGCAAGTGACGTGGGTCAGTTACGGCCCCGCCAAAGCCAGGCAAGCAGAGGCTGTCCTCATGCCGTAGCTGAAACATGGTTGACTTGCAGGGAGTGAGGCACGGCAGGCAGGAGGAGCCGCGCTGCCACCCCCGCAGGCCCTTGAGCGACGCCGTGAATGGGGCCTGGGCCGGGCTCCCTCGTGTCTCCCAGCTCGGAATGGCCATTGCTGTCAGCTCAAGCGAAGCCAGGGCTTGCCTCCCAGAATGAGAATAAAGCCCGATGAAAACCAGCTAACGACAACACACATCACGTTGAACAGAACATGKCTTGTGCTGCCTACTTAGGATTCTGAGGCTCGGAGGGTTGGTTGTTCTTCCCATTCCTAATTTGCGTGTGGGAACTGCTCCCTCCTCCCAGCCAAAGCAACACACGGACACAATAGCTTGTTGTTTGCTGTCTGGAAGGAATTGCCAGACATTTAAATAGCTAGAGTTGAGTTTATTTTTCTACTGTGATTCAGCTCATTCATTACTACAGACACAGCCTTCTAAAAGCAAGGGTTTCCCAAAGATTTGGAATTTCCCTCATTTTTTTTCCAGGAGATGTGCTGCAT